ACTGACAATTCTCAGGGGGAAAGGGTATGGGGTGCGGGAAGAGACCGGAAAAAAATCGTACACCTATGGATGAGGACAGTGGTGGGGGGTAAGGGCAGAGAGTGGGGTGGGAACAAGGAGGGGAGTTATGGGGGGGGGGAAGAGGAACAACTGTAATAATCTGAACAATAAAGATTTAATTATAAAAAAAGTATAGATAAAAAAAAATCTTACACACATATGCATAAAGTATACATACATACACATATATTGCATCCTGATTCCCAATCCACCCCTCTCTCTCTCTCTGCACACTTCGGCAGCTGAAACTGTAAAAGAATAAACTCCGTTATACCTCCTAAACACATGATGTCTGCTCTTGCTTTATTTAAAGACGAAAACTCATCTCCTCCACTATGTGGTTTTTAGCCAAAGACCCTGCTTCAAAGGTAGTGCACCAACCACATTCAAACTGCTAGCTGTAAGATTCAGAGCGTCCACAGGGTGGCACTAGATACCTTTGCTCAAAGTCATAACCTAGTAAGCTTATTTCTAGAAAACAGGGACAGAGAAGAGCCTCTGGCACCAGCAAAGATTAAAATTGAAGCTAATATTAGAGACATCTTGTTCCTTTCTGGAGGGATGGCTGCCAGTCAAAACACATTTAAAGCTCTAATGATATTTAAAGACATCCAAAATGCCAAGCAGACATTACAGACTGCCTGTGGCGATTGCTTCCAATGGCCAATTTACTCTTCTCCTTTGGACACACTTTGTCACAAGTATTTGACATCTTAAAATATGTTTACATATACTTCCTCCTAATACGCACACCTCAACCTCTCTATCTCATCCTTCTCACTCAAACGTACACATGCATATACACACAATGGAGTGCATTTTCAGGTAATTTTTTTGTTTGGTAAGGACGCATACTCACATCCCTGTTCAATAATATTTACATTTCACAATAGTTGCCTGTCTTCAACTTTTTGTAAATTCCCAATTTTCAACAGTTTATGAGTATCCCACAAATAAGCATAAAACTTGGTGGGCTACGTCTCAACTCAAGATGATAAAATTCTTAAAAGTCATCACAAAAAAAATATCTATTTCTGATCTATAATCATATATCAACTTACAATGGATTGGGAGAGTTCATTGCTAGTCTTTTATAGACAGGCAATTTTAAAGGATAATACCCAGCGCTTGGTCTTGAATAAATTTTCAGAGAATGAATAAGCCTCAGAAATGCCTGGGGGGTGGAAAAATAAAAGAGCTGGAAAGCTCTACTGGTTTAAGACTTTTTTTTTCCTTTAATGCCCATTATTACGATTTTCTTTTAAGCTAAAAATCTCTTGGAGATGATTTAATAAAATGTGCTGATGCCTTGAGTATTTTAAAACAGACTCAATGTGATCTATTCAGTTCATTCAGAAACATTTTTGTGTGTGTGCAGACAAGAATGTTTCCCACGACAGTAAGTGTATGTGTCTCGCATCCCGATTAAACAAGCCATAACAGCACCTTCTGGGCCTATAATCTACTCTTTAAAATGAGCATTTAAGGTCAAAAGCACATTGCATACAGTAAAACCGAGTGCTTAATGACCATACCCCAATAATATGTTGTACTTTCAAGCTAATTATCAGAGTAATTTACATGTGAAATACCCAAACTATTAATGGGTATATGCCTGTTAATGTGCTTATTATCTAGAAGAAGCCATTATGAACCTGCTAAGCTCAACTATTGTCCAAATTTGAAGGGAAGATAAATTTTAAAATATGTCAATAAAACTAAGAGCTCACTCCAACCTAGGCTGATTCCAGTGAGGGGGGAAGGGAGAGGGTGGTGTGGGCAGTTAGGTCAATTCCACTGCAAGCCCAAAAGCTGACAAGACTCCACATGCGTTCAAGTCCATGGCAGATTAGGTGCAGGCTGACTAACGGTGAACCCACAGCCATTGCACATCAGCATCGGGCTGGCAATGCACCTTTTCCCTTGATCTCCAACTCATCACCAAACAATCGGCAGACAAGACTCAGAAAGTGTTTTATTCAATTGAACACAAAATGCCTGTTATAATAACGTCAAGCCTTTATCAGAAATCAATACATGGTGAGGATACACAGCCAGAACGAGCCATCAACATCAGCAGTATAAATTTTAAGTAACTTTTTTGATTTCTAATTCAATGTGCAGAAGAACATAAAACCAAAAGAGCAATTTCAATTTCACAATTCACAGCTGATTGGTTTTAATCCCATGACACTTTTGTCATTTCTGTAGCCCCAGAACAGAAGCAGATTTCCAATACGTGGACTGGCACTTGGCACCAACAGCACACACCATGTTAAACCCCTGTAGGACACTGAGAAATCATTTGAGGGAGCAACCCCAATTTCACAACTTTTTGGCTGGCTTTTATTTTATTTTATTTTATTTTTTTCAGCTATGGACTTTACTAGAGACATTGTTCTAGTGAAATAGCAAAAACTGTTTTAAAAGCTTGCCATGCCATTAAATGAAGGGCTTTAATGTCACCCTTGCTTTTCCATGATTTTATTCTCTAATTTAGAACAGTAGCTGCACTAAAATGCAACCTTAACAGTGAAAGCAAAGTTGCTTTTGCTTCTGGATCTAGAGCATACAGCCAAGAGAGGCAATGTGTATTGTCCTAGCAGATAAAAGGAATGCGTTAGAGCAATCTGACATACTCTAGTAAGGCATTTCAAAGCTGACACACCATACCCAAATTAAATTATTGTGGGCAGCCGAGGATACCACAAGGTAAACACCAATTTACACAGAATCAACATGAAATTCTTATAAAATGACACACGGATTTACAAAACCACAGGAAGGAGCTCAAGTACCAAGAGAAGGCAAACAACAATCAGCCCCTCTAAAAGAGTTTTGTTCCTGTAAATGCCAGATTTGCAAAGTAGAAATAAACTTTCTATGTTCTTTGCCCTAGGATATTATCATTCCTTCTGACATACGGGGTTACTTTTCCTTAAAAAAATAGATCATGTAGAGAATATACATATAACCAGTGATAGAGAACATTTATTTTCACTAGTGAGGGGGTCACTTAAGCACTTACATGGAAAGAATTATGAATGAATCATTAAAGTCATTGAAATGCAAAAATAAATCCGATAAAAACTGCATTCATTAGTATTCAACAGTAAAGTTCTATTTTCAGCAACTTCATTGGCTTAATGGGAACTACGGCCATGAAAAGATCTTTAAGTTCAAAAAGATATGAAATGCCTAAAAAGGAAAAGTCAAAATTACTAAAGATTCATAATTTCACTTGAAGGGCCCCAAAGAAAATGTTATTTTAGAAGCCTTGAATCTTATCAAAATAGCACAAGTGTAAGATTCAAGAACATTGACGTTTCCATTCTGACATATCCATTGCATATTCATGCCCTGGAGCAAGTCACTTAAATTCTTTACCCACCAAAAAAAAGTGCCATAATAAAGGCATATGTAAAAGAAAAAAAAAAAAAGTTTTCCATAAAGCTAAAGATGGGTACTAAGGCTCACAATTTCAACAACTCATTGTACAGTACAGTCATTTTCAATCCTGCTTATTATGGCTGGAGGAAGCATGGGCAAGTACCATTGTCAGGGAACTCAAAGGCTTTAGAGAAATGAATGATTTTAACTTTCTAAACTACTTAATCTGCTCATCTAGAGTTATTTAAAACAACTAACCATCTACGGGTTTGACTCTATACTTAGTGGTAGAACAGGTGAAAGTAGTGAAGGAAACATGGTAAGATGAGAAAAGCAGCAGCAGGTTGAAATGAGGTATACGCTGATTTAATAAACCCCAATCAGCAACTTACAATTTTTTAAAGAAGCTGCATAGTTCAGCAACATACATCATAACAACAGGGATAAGGGAGAAATTATTGTCATGAAACTTTAAGACATATGACAACTAAGCATCTAAAATGACCAACTCGAGAAAACTTCAGTTTGAAAGTTGTCTTCCCTCACTCTAAACACATACAAAAACAGAAACTGGAAGGCGAAAGTCCACAGAAGAAAAACTGTATGTTAACTGGCTCAGGTTATCAATTTCATGAGTTCAAGAAACATATGACCTAAACTTATCATTGAGATGCTGCTTTTTAAAAGCTACTGATATTTAAACAAATATTAAATCTAGTTAACGACACCTATGCTAAAGTGGTTAAGGAAAATGTATTGTCTGAAATTTACACTGAAATGTATATTTAAAATAAACTATGGAATGGTGGATGAATAGAGGATTGGATAGATATGTGGTAATACAAATATAGTAAAATATTGATTGTAGAATCTAGTGGTGGGTATATTGTAAAAAAAATTTGGTATGTGTTTGAAAATTTTCATAATAAAATGTTAAATTTCTACAATAAATTTAGTAGTATGTTTTAAAGACTCAAAGTACTCGGCAATTTGGAATTTTAAAAGTTATCTGAAGTAGGAAAATTTTCGCTTTAAGAGTCCTCAGACCTGATTTGGGAAGATGATTTTTTTTAACGTAGAGACAAAGTGACATACTTGTTACCTACTGAGCATGACAATCTCTTCCCACACTTATTTGTAATACATAATTCTCTTCTCTCTACAGAAGACACAAGTTTGAAAAAGAACACTGGAATGAAGTTCTTAAAGTCAGTGTCAAGCTCTTCCCAACCCACCACACCACCCTTCACTAAATATAAATGTAATACAGATAAAGGTGAAAAATAATCTGTGACTGTTGGCAGTCTAGACAGCTGAATTCATTTTCATGGTGTATGGTTCCTGATCAACACTAATAATAGTTTTATTCAATATCAAATTGAGACAGCATTAAGAGGGGGAAAAAGGTGTAGAACATAGAATTCACACAGACCTTTGCCTTTCCAAGCTTCTGTGTAATGAACTGTGATTAATGACAATAATTATAACATCTCTTCTCTCTGTGAAATGCTAAAACTTGCTAAAGGCACTCATATTCTGGGCTTAACAAAAACAGGGTCACATGGGACTATAAGCCAGTATTTTGTTGTTGTTTTGGTGGCTACCCAGAAAGGGGGTTTACAATGATCCTCCGATTCAAAATGGGAAGAAAAAGTCAAAAGAGCTATCAGAACAAATATATGGGAAGCTATTTACACAGATGTTTGTCCATTTTGTTAGACCGGTAACTCCCAATAGTAGGGATCCACCACCAAAAATAAAAGCAACTTCAAAACACTATTATGTATGAAACTCCATAACAGTGATTTGGCTGGTGCTAAAAAAAAAAAAAAAAAAAAAAAAAAAAAAAAATCTTTGTAAGGTAGAATATTTTTAAACATCTCTTCAACATCAAACTTTCCCTATACTAACAAAGCATTTGTCTAATTTCTAAAGTAGCTCTAATGTCCTTATATGTCTCACCAAGTTCTTTACCGAGTACTTCCAGCTGAAGTTCTGAAGAAACAAAATAGATTAGGTTCCAAACCCATCTTTCCTAGGCTGCTCTGTGGAGAATATTATGCAGGACAATTACAGTTCTCCCATGATCTGAGCAAACTCATTTTACATAGGTCACTGGACAGTCCTCAAACTGTTCGTTGCTCATTGTTCCAGCCAATTCGGAATCATAAATCCCACAGCTAATCCTTAAACTCTATCTTCAGAGGAGGATACATTTGATCTCTGTTCAAAGTGTAGCTGCGTAGCTACAGCAAGTGTGCCAGCCATAGAACAGCTCTGCAGAATAAGGTGGAAGATCTCATGCTGCCTTTAGCTGTTCAAGTCAGAGGGACATAAGGATGACCTCAGTCACGATTCTTCACTCACTCTCAGAGTTCAGAAACCGAATTGGTTTTCTACGTGTACCTGCCCTATTAGAGTGAAGAATTGGAGGAGGAACTTTTTCAAAATGGGTGGTATACAAAAAGTATTCACTTAGAGAATTCAGTGCAAGAGGAGGCAGGCAGACAAATGTAATAAACAACATGCACATATTTACAAGTTGCAGTATGTGATATACAAAGACAAGACCAGTAACGTATTTTCTGTTCAATGTGGAGTCAAAAGGAGTACATGGCACACTCAGTTTTATAGCTTCACTTTTTTGGGGGGGGAAAAAAACAACACTTCGAAGGCATATGCAATCCAATCTTTTAATTGGGATGTGGAATTTTTCCTTTACAACTTCTTGCCCTCAATATGTTAGCAGAGTTTCTGTCATCTTCTCACAATGACAACTTACACAAAGATATTCACAGAGAAGATAGACTTGGATGCCATGAGTTCTTGCAGGTGATTATTGAAATCTATTTAATTTAATTGACTCCAGATGTTCCGTCAGTTGGGCCTCAGTCTGTCCTTGTACACAGCATATCAAAGACACTAACATGACTCCTGGGAACACAGGGTGCAAAGTCTCAAGCACGTTACAGAGCAAGACTGGACTTCACAAATGAAATCAACAGAGATCACAAGTCACGGACTGCAGTAGTCACAACAAGCTTTCCGGCAGGGAAAACACTGTCTATGAGGGATGCATGGATATGAGAAACTGCACCATGCAGAAATGTCTTTATTCAGGCATTTCCTTTCTGACAGCCTCACCCTTTGTCTCACCTATGGAACACAGACCATTGCAAGGTATTGAGCCCAGAACACAGCCCACTGTCACAGAGATGTGTAGGGGCTTTTCAGGGGGATGTGTATGTAACTTCTATAAATGATCACGGAAGTTATTTACCAACTTCCTAGAGTTTAGAAATTAAGGAGCAAACCAAGTTATTGTAGGCAATATGGTATCTAAAGTGTTCATATAAAACAAACACATAGCTCTTTTTTAGTGCAAAGAAATATAGCAAGTAAGAAATAACACTAGAGATCTTTTTTCTTTCAAAGAAAATGCGTTTATGCATTCCTAACATCCATTAAGGGCACTGGGAGACTGGCAACCTGAACACGAAAGGCCAGGAAAACACATCAAGGCCTTAAAGCCACTGGTTTTTGTATATATAATGAAATTATTAGGTGGGGACAGTGAGGAAAACCCTTCCTTTAATTTTATTTGAAAGTGGATGAATGTCACTTTTACAAAATGCAAATTCTTATCCACAATCTTTTACTGTTATCTGAAATAAGAAGTCAATGAAATCTTCTCTGCGGTAACACATAAAAGCATATACCTATAATTTTATACATGTGTCTATATGTATATAAATACACATACAGAAAGAAGGGAAAATGGGATTTTTAAATAATCAGAGAACCAAGTGGCCAGCACTGTAATATTAAAATCTACAAAAAAATTATACTTAGCAGCAAAATGAACAACGTACTGACCAATAAAATAAGTTCTAAATTGCCCTAAACTCATCAACTGTATTTTATAAATTACTGCACAAAGGATTATTTTGCTAAGAGTCACTGCTCTAAAGAGAATCTCAACTGAATATTATTCTTCTGTTTCTGGGAGAGAAAAATATTATTAAATAATTTTACTTTTCAAAAACCATCACTCCAACAGAAGAGTGACTTGATACTGTACCAGAGGTGAATCACAAAACTGAATTTTAAACATGAGTCTAGAGCATTCAACATTGTTTAGAAGTACTAAAGAAAGGAATTGTTGTAATTTTCCTTCTCCCCATCTCTTTGCACATAGAATTCTCAAGGGACAACGGGAGTTTGGTATTTTTTAATAAGCAATCAAGTATGAATTGACCATAATGCAAAAATACTGCTCAACATAAACTTCTTTGTGGCCTTTCAAAAGAAGTATGGATGAGCACCAGCCTTATCCATGTAAATACAGTAAGTAGGTAAAATACAGTTAATGAAAGTTCATAGAGTACTCATTACTTAATCTAGACATACACTAGAGCTTTAAAAAAAAATACAAAACTAATAATACTGCTGTAATTATCAGATAACAAGTAATCTATAATGTATTTCTACTATTTTCAAGGAAGCTGAATTAGAAAGAATAAAATCAAAGTTCATGTATTTTCCTACTTGAAATGATAATGAAATTGAATCAACTTTTTAAAAATTCCTCTCTATGAAACAGTATTTTTCAGGACAGCCAACTAACAACACACAGATGAATGTAAGTAAAATATAATGATCAGTGTATCTACAAAGTCTGCCAAACCAAATACCCAGAGATCTAAGTTTATGACTGAGGCCATCATATAAGTAACAAGTTATTATCAACTAAGTAACTCTAAATTGAAAAATTAAACACATCTTTACATTTCCTAAAACCAGCTGAAAAATATTTTTTTAAAAAAATATCGTATCTATCTTAAATTCATTGGATATTCAAATGTGGGGCTTGGAAATCCCACAACATAGATGGGGCATGAAAAAGACCTTATGGGACAAGCTAATTCAACCAGGGTGGCGAGGATGGGGAAAGGTAGCATTTAAACATGTGAAATCCATAACTGGAAATGAAGTTACACTGTTTGGAAGTCCACAAGGACATCGGAGGTGTCTGAATCTAAGAAAACCTTCATCTCAATCATGGGAAGACATGATAAGAGGAAAAATGTCCTGGGAAAGACCTTAATGCAGTTTATAACAGTATGTCCTACCGACAAGATATTGAGTTGAGGTGGGGTTCCAAAGGAGCCTTGGGAAAGTGAAACCTCTGCTTACCTGTTTTTACTGTGATCTGAAGAACTCAATAAAATCCTTAACAGTACACAAAATTGCAAAAGAAGATGAGATTTTTAAATAGTTAAAGCTCTAAGTGGTCAGGCTTCTTACCTGACCAGAACTTGGTCGAGATAAAAATTTATTTCTCATGGGGTAGGGAGGTCACATGCTCTAAGTAACTCAACACAGCTGACCTGAAAAAGCATCATGACCTAAGGCGCACGCTCTTGTCCTTCCCCAATGTTGACATCTCACGGTACCACTGCAGTTACACGTATTAACATTAAGCAGAGGAATGTACTTATATCAAAAGGACCACAAAGCAGGGCATGTTGACAGAAGGCAAATAACAGGCAGGACGAGCTGCTCTATCTGAACACAAGGATCCTATACATAGCCCAGATTCTCCATCTCATTCCTGTACCGCTGTTCAGACACCTTGCTTTTATGCTGCTTGCTCTCTAAATGATGCCGGAATTCCACCTCTTCGCCAGCCCCAACATTGCACATCGAGCAGTAAAACTGGCCACTTGGAGTAACGCACATGGCCAGATCACGCGGAATTCTCTGCCGAGAGCGGCGATTGAAGTACGGGCCTGCCAAAGCAAGAGACAAAAGTAATTTGTTCACTTCAAAATAGTCACTAAGTGAATGACAACAGTCTGATCAATCATCACTATAATTTGTATTTTTTAGTCATTATAAAATTCACAGATTCTTAGCTTTAAATAAATGTGAAGTTAATGGACTTTTTAAATTACAATTTTATACAGGTTCATCTAAAAGCTAATATGATTCTTCCAACTCTTGTCAAAAAGGTTACTGTACAGCCAAACCCAAATTCTAAATGACAATGTCTCTAAAAAGAAGGTACAGTTTTTAAAGTGATTTAATTTCGCAGCATTACATGGTTTAATAATTATGCCAACACTTTAATCCAAAAATTCTATTTCTAAGAATTATCCTAAGAAAATATTAAGAATTCTTGCATAAAGATTTATCAGTGAGGATATTTATTTCATCAGTATTTATTAAAGCTTTTTTGGAAGGATGTGAGAAAAGAAGAGTTCCAAAAATACAATTTAAAAAATTATGGTAAAAACTGCAATGGAAAACCATGCGGTCACTAAAAGTAATAAAAATATTTTAGTTACATGAAAATCCTATACAATTAAGAGGTAATATGCAAATTGACCATCACAACCTCACACAAGATGGCCACCCCCATGTGGTCATAAGATGGCCACCACAAGATGGCCGGCAGGGGAGGGCAGTTGTGGGCGATCAGGCCAGCAGGGGAGGGCAGTTAGGGGGGACGGGGCCTGCAGGGTAGGGAGGGCAATTGGGAGGGACCAGACCTGCAAGGGACGGCAGTTGGGGGCGACCAGGCCAGCAGGGGAGGGAGGGCAGTTGGGTGCAACCAGGCCTGCAGGGGAAGGAGGGGAGTTGGGGCAACTAGGCCTGCAGGGGAAAGGCAGTTGGGGTAACCAGGCTGGCAGCAGAGGGCAGTTGGGGGTGACCAGGCCTGCAGGGGAGGGCAGTTTGGGGTGACCAGGCCTGCAGGGGAGGGCAATTGGGGGTGATCGGGCGAGCAGGGAAGGGCAGTTGGGGGCGATCGGACTGGCAGGGGAGCAGCTAGGCGTCGATCAGGCTAGCAGGGGTGTGGTTAGGGGGAGATCAGGCTGGCAGACAGAAGCGGTTAGGGGCAATCAGGCAGGCAAGCAGTTGGGAGCCAGCAGTCCCAGATTGTGAGAGGGATGTCCCAGATTGGAGAGGGTGCAGGCTGGACTGAGGGACACCCCCCCTCCCGCTCCCAGTGCACAGATTTCATGCACCGGGCCTCTAGTGTGATTATAATATGCTATTAAGTGAAATAAGAATATCACAAAATATAATCACATTTCTATTTTAAAGAAGTATTATGTAGAAAGAGTGGAATGACATATGTAAAAATGTTGGTGGAATTATTAATCATTTTCTTTTATTCTTTTTACATAACTGACTCCTTAGGTTGGACCAATAACTTATTAATTTTATGCTTTCCTTTTCTACTATAATAAATAGTTGAGGCTTTCCTTAAAATATTGCTTTCACTTCATTCTACAAATTTAATATATTTTTATTGATGTTTGGTTCTAATATTTTTAATATTCTATATAATTTCTTCTTTGGCCTATGAGTTATTTAGAAGTGTTTTTAAATTTCTAAACAACTGGAAATTCTGTGTGATTTTTAAAAATATTTTTTTACTGACATCTCACTTATTCTCCAGTCAGAGAACATAGTCTAAACTACCTTCTGATCTAAAGTTTATTTCATCTAATTTTAATATTCCTATCTTAGCTTCCTTCATTTTAGCTAATTTTTAATCTAATTTTATAACCTCTGGGTTTTAACTGAGAATTTAGTAAATTTACACTTATTACAATTACTGATATATGTTTAGGCTTTTTACAACTATATTACATTGTTGTTTCTATCTGTCCCTATTTTCTATGCTTCTCTTACCTTTCCAATTAACTGTTTCCATTTGTTGTTTGTTTTACTATTCACATGAATAACCTACGCTGGTATGTGTATGCATTGGAGACCGGGGCAGAGGGAGGATGAGGGACTACTCAGTCCTACTTTCCCTCCTCAAGGTAATCATCCCTATAAACTAGTTGTTCTGAACTGAAGGTGTATACGTAGGAAGCATTTTCAAAGTACATGTATGTCTGGGTCCTACTCCAAATGTACTGACTGAAAATCTCTGAGTCCTGGTTCAAGCATGTGTATTTTATAACAACTCCCCAGGGCAATTCTAATTCACTACCCTGGTTAAGCACCACTGCTATAAAGCTTTTAATTTTCCTCAATATATATGGATTTAGCACAGTGCAACCGTAAACCAAATAGCTCATCTTTATAAGGGATTTTACATTCCTTAGCTGGAAAATACCAGAAGAAACATAAAGGAACCATAATAAAACATCTTAAAACATAAACTATAGTTTAAAATAAAAAATAAGTAGCCAAAACCGGTTTGGCTCAGTGGATAGAGCGTCGGCCTGCGGACTGAAAGGTCCCAGGTTCGATCCCGGTCAAGGGCATGTACCTGGGTTGCAGGCACATCCCCAGTGGGGGATGTGCAGGAGGCGGCTGATCGATGTTTTTCTCTCATCGATGTTTCTGACTCTCTATCTCTCTCCCTTCCTCTCTGTAAAAAATCAATAAAAATATATTTTTTAAAAAAATAAGTAATATACTAAATAGAAAATAAATAAATAATTGAGACCTGAAATAAACACCAGCTTGAAAAGCCACTAGACTAATTCAAACAAAGCAGCTTACCCCAAATTCTCAGGGCTATCTATTACCATTAAAAAAAGTAAAAATAAAGGAGACCATTTGCAGCAGTAGCCAAGGTATGTGGAAATTCACTGGATACCTGTATTATTCTGTACTGTATACATATTTCTCCTATTGGGCATCATTTTATATTCATTCCCTTCTTTCCGGGCCCGCCGTTGACCGGCCTCTGAGGATTCCCTGAAGAAAAGAAATTTTAAAAGAGTGAGACTTCTAAACAGGGATCCATTTCAACTCTTTCTCTCTACAGACACTCAGTCTCACACAACACTTTGGCCTCAGAGAAAACGGCAATACCTACGAGAATGAGTTACTCTGAGCTTCCGCCAGCCGCAGTCTCTTGGCGTGATTCTTCCCTTGATAGTGAGCCTGAGCCACAGCTGGAGAACTAAAGGAGGCATCACAGAGCTTACAGTAATCATTCTCTGTGGCCAGGATCACTCGGCCTCCCGGCTTAAAGGAGCCCATCTGACATCAAAGACATAAGAAACAAGGTTACAAAGAAAAATCTGGAGCTTATTTCCTTCTCCTCCTCCAAGTTCCTTCTAAGGCTAGGAGACACTTAGTCATGGTTTTGCAGGACAATCACCAATGTAACAAAATCATGAATGGCTCATTGCTATCTCCAATGAGGAATTTAAAAAAAAAAAACCCAGAATGGAAAATTTAAGGTAGTATAGGTAAAGGCTAAAATTGTATTATCAGAAAAAGTCAAGTCAGCCCAGAATCCATCCATAAGCATTTACTGATCACGTACAGTTAACAGGGCTTGCTACCTAATGCAGAAGTTATATACAGATATATATATACACACAAACCGCACAGTGAACGCCACAACATCAGCCCAGCATCACGTGTCTCACTCGTTCACTTTATGATTGGACATACGAGTAATTTAAGTTACAAACTCCATCACAGAACGAATTAAACTCTTAAGTCAAGGCCCCACTGTGTGTGTGTGTGTGTGTGTGTGTGTGTGTATTTTAAATGAGCCCCTGCTTAAATAGTCTACAAATTAGCTATAGATACAATATAATTAGGGGAAAATAATCAGCAGATCCAGCCAACTGTATTCAGGTTGGAAAACAATGAGTTAAGAGAAATCTAATATAGTGCCTGAAAGATAGTATGCACTCAAGAAATGTTATTGGGCTAATAAAAAACAACAAACTAGATTCTGTCTGGAGGAGAACAAAATATATATGAGTCTGGAAAGCATATCACATCAGGACCAGCTGAAAGAAAGAGCACTGTTTCACCTGGAAGGGAAGACCTTCTGGACATAGGAGATCTGCCTTCAAACATCACGAAGGGCTGTGCTCTGAAAGAAAGCTACGGCCGGCTGTTTGCCCCAAAGAGTGGAGCTGGCTGAAAACAGTCCCAGCAGAGAGCAGCCATCCAGTTCTAGAGCAGCCTTCAGGACTCAGTACTGTGACAACGACACCACCAGAAGATCATTCTGGGAACTTTCCTGTCCTCTGATTCTGTGTTTAACACATCTCATTTACCCCCACAAATTCTTGAGGATGGAGGAATAGCTGGTATTGCTATCCATACATTAAGTACCGGACAGCTGACATTCAGAAAAGTAAAATTATACCGTGATGAGTAGAGGTCTAAGATCAAAAAAAATTCTTGCCCCACCACATGTAACACCCTGGACAAGTTACTTAGCTTACCTGTGCTTCTAATAAACTTCCAGGTAAGACCGAGGTGGCTGGCCCATGGATTACTCTCAGAGTAATAAGGCCAATACCGCTAAATTACTGCAAGCATTCCATGAAGTCAGGGCCCAGGACAAGAATGAGGCAAGCAGGCACTTGCCATGGACACAAAATTTAAGAGAGCATCAAAAAAAACACCCAACAATCAAAAACAAATAATATTTTAATGGAATATTTTTATAAATGCAAAAAATCAATGAGGAACAAAATACCAAAATATTCAATAACAACAGGATCAGTAACTGCCATGCCAAGCCATAGAGCAGCCTGAGGCAAAAGGAAAATCAGTAATATTAATCCTATGTTTTTTAACCTTTCGTTCACCATTGAATTTTTTACATTAATTTTGAATTTTGAAAATAGTTATCTAGGCCCTGGCCGGTGTTGTTAAGTGGTTAGAGCAGGGGTCCTCAAACTTTTTAAACAGGGGGCCAGTTCACTGTCCCTCAGACCGTTGGAGGGCCGGACTATAGTTTAAAAAAAAAACTATGAACAAATTCCTATGCACACGGCGGCAGCAAAAACACCCGGCGGGCCAGATAAATGTTTTCGGTGGGCCACATGTGGCCCGCGGGCCGTAGTTTGAGGACCCCTGGGTTAGAGCACTGGCTCATGCACTGAAGGGTCACAGGTTCAATTGCTGGTCAAGGGCATCTATCTGGGCTGCAGGTTCAATATTCAGCCCCGGTTGAGGTGTGTTAAGAGGCAACCAATCGTTGTGTCTCTCTCGCATAAATGTTTCTCTCTCTCTCTCTCTCTCTCTCTCTTTCTCTCTCCCCACCTTCCACCACCCTCCTTCTATCCCTTCCACTCTTCCTAAAAATTAATGGAAAAAATATCCTTGGGTGAGGATTAATAATGGCAAAAAAGTAAATAAATAGTTATCTTTGACTACTGAGATTTTAGTCTTCCTCTTAAACTTTATGCTGAAATGTAATGCATCCCTCTCCCCATCCTAGTCCCAGCCCTGAATGAAACAATGCATGAAAAGTGCTTAGCAGAGTACCTGGCATAGTAAAGTACTCAATTAGACTTATTATTTATGACCATTGCATTGTTCTAAAGACAAATAATACTTCAAGACAGATTAAGGAGTAGAATCCATATGTCAGAGGATGTTAAAGTACAGGAATACCTTGCTTGAAACACCTGCTCTATCATTCAAAGAGTAAACAAAACTCTGCTTTCAACCAGAAAGTGTTTCTACAGGTTCTCTGGACAGAAGTTTAAAAAAAGAAGAAGAAGAAGAAGAAGGGGGAGGGCATGCAATCTCAAGAAATTGATCTTAATAGAAGGCAAAATATAAATTAAATGGGATTAACTGCAATCCTATATAGTAAAGAGGCAATATGCAAATTGACCATCACTCCAACACACAAGATGGCAGGCAGGAGAAGGCAGTTGTGGGCGTTCAGACCAGCAGAGGAGGGCAGTTGGGAGGGACCAGGCCTGCAAGGGAGGGCAGTTGGGGGCGATCAGGCCTGCAGGGGAGGGCTGTTAGGGGTGACCAGGCTGGCAGAAAAGGGCAGTTGGGGGCAACGAGGGCTACCAGGCCAGCAGGGAAGGGCAGTTGGGGGTTACCATGCCTGCAGGGGAGGGCATTTAGGGGCAATCGAGCCAGCAGGGGAGGGCTGTTGGGGGCAATCGGGCCAGCAAGGGAGCAGTTAGACGTTGATCAGGCTGGCAGGGGAGTGGTTAGGGGGTGATCAGGCTGGCAAGCAGAAGCAGTTAGGGGCAATCAAGCAGGCAGGCGAGTGGTTGGGAGCCAGCAGTCCCGAATTGGAGAGGGTGCAGGCTGGGCTGAGGGACACATCCCCCTATGCATGAATTTCGTGCACCGGGTCTCTAGTAAAGATATAAACGTTTAAACAATCTCTTGCTCTATTCAGGGTTTGTTGGCTTTTATTCTAGCTTAGCCTAGACCAGTGATGGCAAACCTATGACACACATATCAGAGGTGACATGCGAACTCATGTTTTTGGTTGATTTTTCTTTGTTAAATGGCATTTAAATATACAAAATAAATATCAAAAATATAAGTAAGTCTTTGTTTTACTATGGTTGCAAATATCAAAAAATGTCTATATGTGACATGGCACCAGAGTTAAGCTAGGGTTTTCAAAATGCTGACACGCCGAGCTCAAAAGGTTCGCCATCACTGGCCTAGACTCAGGGTCATCTAAGCCTGGATTTTGAGAAATGCATAGAGAAAGACTCATGAAACAATATTCATTTCATCATTTCATACATTACAACCAAAGCATGAGAAATCTCAAGGTCGTGGATTTTGGCATGCATTAAATCCAGCCCTGGAGTTCAAGGAGTCAAAAGCACCCAATGGGACCTTTCAGGGGTATTTGCCCAATTGTACCTTGATGAGCACATGGATGACAAATTTCATCCATGGCCATTTGTGCATAGGACAGCTTCCACCCTGCCACATGTCTCACCTGTGGAGGGACTGGAACAGCTGGCGTGGCCACAGGTTCTACCACATTGTTCATTCTGGCAGGAGGAGGACAGCTGTTTGCTGCATAGTAATTTCTGAGTTTCTTACCATGATTTTTACCCTAGAAGTAAAATGAAATGGGTAATCACCATGGTGAAAATTTGTCAAACGGAATTAATATATTCATTTTAAAAAAAAACACAAAAAAGAAAAAAACCTACAAACAATACTAACTACATTTTATTCTTTCAGATATGCCACACTAGGGTAAATAGACCACTACTAGATTTGATGACTTGGTCTTAAAGTAAATGTCTATTCTTTGGTTCTAACAGGATGATTACATTTATCTGGGAACGATAAGGGAACAAAGCCAAAAGAAATTAATTTCCTATATATTTTAGAAAAGTATTACATTTTACAGCCATCTGTGTCCTTCCCAAACGTGTTGCCTTTCCTACGCCACTGCCCAAATATAAATTTCATAATACTCTGATCTAATCTACTTTATAAGTCTGTGACAAAATGGATAATCCAATTATTTTTACAGACATAGCTCTTACAGAGTAGCTTTTTACTTTGCGCATTAGATCATTTGCTGCTCACAAAAATCCCGTGAAAGGAACTTGTTAATATTATCCACATAGGACAGCTGAAGAGCCATGATCCAGAGTGTGGGGACCTGCCACCAACACCCAACATTCAACAGGGCCACGCAGTGCAGCAGAGCTCGAGGCAGGCCTTCCGAGTCCAAAACAAGGCCCTGGTCCACCACAGCATGATGGCTGCAGATGCACTGTGAACCTCTATTAAAATGGATTTTATTTGCTTCTCTCATTGTGTTTCCTTTAAGTTATTATTCACATGATTATTCACATGACTATACTCCTTAGAACTGCTGCAAATTGGTGGGAAGGGTCAGTGATCTAAAAGCATCCTAAATGAGGAGGGGAAAGTATATTATTCTTTAAACTACTTTGTAAAAATTAAACTTGTAGGCATTTATTTACCACCTATTATATGCTAAGCTTTACAGGAATTAGAGTTAGCACACACTCTAGAGGATGTGCTAAGTTCTACCTTCTGACCACTCACCATGGTTGCAGTGACTTCCATGGGGTCACCGAGCCAGTGGTGATACCTGTGCCTTCATCATTTCATCATATTCTAACTCTAAGCAGCATGATCCAATTGACGCTCTCTCCTTCTATTGTCTTCTATGATTCCCTCTCACACCCCTACCTCTCCTTCTCTAAATGCTATGGTGTCCAAAGCCCTACCCTCAGTTCTCTTCTCTATCTACACTCAAACTCTCAGTTACTTTATCCAGTCTCATAGCCTTAAAATATAATGACTAAGTTGCTAACTCCAAAAACTATCTATCTCCATCCCTGTTATAAACTCAATGTCTGTGTTCCGCCAAACATATACAGTATTGAAATCTAATCTCAATGTGATTGTATTAGGAGGTGATTGGGTCTTCAGGGTGGAGCCTAATTAGCGCCCCTTTATGAAGTATACCTCACCCTCCACCTCCCATGTGGGAATATAAGCCGGCCATCTGCAATCTGGAAGAGGGTCCTCACCAGAACCCAACTGTGCTGCACCCTGATCTCAGCCTTCCAGCCTCCACAACTTTGAGAAATAAACATTCACTGTTTAAGCCACCCGGTCTCTGGTAATTTGTTATAGCAGCCCCAACAAACTAAGGCCATCCTTGACCTTCAGAGCCACCTATACAAATGACTTCCTGCCATTGACACTTTGCAGTCTTAAGAGGCATGTCCAACTTAAAATATCTAAAAAATAACTTCTGGTTCCTCCCTCACAGAACTCTCTCATCGCTGCCGTCACCACTAAGTCATCCACATGTCAGTAAATGGCACTCAAAAAAGACCAGGGATCCTTTTCTTGATTCCCTCCCTCCTTAAAACCAACACGTCTAATCCACCAGCCAGCCCTATCTGCCTACCTTCAAAATATATCCTAAGTCATGCCACTTCTTTCCATGGACACTACAAATACCACAGTAATCCAAGCTACCAACATTTTCTACCTGCAGCAAGAACTCCTTCCTGGTTTCTGCTCTCACTCTGTCCTCCTAATTCTCCTCATACCAGCTAGAGTGGTAATTCCAGACATAAATGAGATCATGCCACTCTCTCACGTAGAATCTTCCAATCGTTTCCCACTACACTTAAAATCGACACATCTTACCCATAAGAGCCCACAGGATCAGACCCTGCCCGCTTCTCAGATTTTATTTCATACAGCACCCCTTCCCCCAGCTCATTATACTCTGGCCTCACTGGCCTTCCTTCTCTTCCTAAAACATACCAAATTCATTCTAGCTCTAGAGCCTTTGTACTTGCTGTTCCTTCTGCCTAGAACAGCTGTGGGCAAACTACGGCCCGCGGGCCAGATCCGGCCAGTTTGAAATGAATAAAACTATTGAAAAAAAAGACCGTACCCTTTTATGTAATGATGTTTACTTTGAATTTATATTAGTTCACACAAACACTCCATCCATGCTTTTGTTCCGGCCCTCCGGTCCAGTTTAAGAACCCATTGTGGCCCTCGAGTCAAAAAGTTTGCCCACCCCTGGCCTAGAATGATCTTCTTTCAGCAGCATGGCTGGCTCCTTCTCATCTCTCAGGTCTCAAATCAAGCAGCAACTCACTCAATCTGAAGTTAATGCCCATCCCCACCTACACCCCCTCCCTCCCCGCCCCCATACACACTCTCTTTCCATCACATTACTACATTATGTGTCTAAAATAATATTATTTACTTGTTTTCTCTCTTTTCTACTCTCTGGAATGTAGACTCCATGGAAAATAAGAACCCTGTCTATCTCGTTTACTGTTCTAGCCCAATGTCTACAACAGTTTCTAGCCTATAATAGGCAACAAGTAAATATTTGCTCGATCAATGAATCAAGAAGTATAATGGAGATAACAAAGAAGGAAGAACACAGAGAAGGAATTTCTTACTTCCTCCTGAAGGTGTCAGATATGACCTCCTTGAAAAAGCAACATGTAAGTCATCTTTTAAAAGGAACAAAAGTTTAACAGGCAGCTAAGGAGTGAGGAGGAAGAAAACTGCGAACAAAGGAAATGGTCTGAACAAAGGCCCCTCCTGCTGGAGAGATGGTCTTCAAGATCCTTTAGAGAAAAGGTA